TAATAAAAATCCTTCATTTCAAATTCAAATTAAAACTATATTTCAATTTCAAAGAATAAAAAAAATATTGATTTTTTTTATGAAAGTATTGGCTTGTCTGGTTGTCTTCTTTAGTGGCATTGTTGGTGTTTTATGATCAGCTGCCACCTCTGAAGACAAAAGTGAAGACACTAAACATTGCAATTACAGGCTGGCGGTGAAATCATTCAATAAGGAATTTTAGAAAAACACCAACAACAACGACAACATAACTCGCGCCAAATAGACACGTTTCTGTCATTGAGTTTCTGTTTCTGTTTCTGCCAATGACGACAAAATTCACTGAACGAACGAATGACTGACTGACTAACTGACTGACTAGATTATGACGGTATTGAGTTTCATTTTCTAAACCCCTGAATTGGTAGAGAGAAAGACCTGAAGACAGAAATCTTTGTTTTGTGCATTGCCATGGCTTGGTGTAGCTATAGCCATGGTTGATGGTTCGCATTTGACAGATCGATGGTTTGATGAGTGTCGTCATATCGTCAATTTTTCCTTAAGAAATAGAGAAAACGGATGCTTAAACGGAAAAAAGGCACATGAAAATCGCTTTGAATGCAAAAAAGATGGCAACAACAACAACAGCAGCAGCAGTGACGAACATGGACAAAACGGAACTAGTGGTTGGTAGATTGGAATGCCATTATGATTCTTCTTTTGGTTGGCAAATTGCATTGCACATTTTGAGAATGACAAACGTGAGATCTCATTTTTGCAAAAGCCCACGAAATGAACATAAAATGCATTTTTGGGATTTGGGAAATATCAGGCCTCGAAAGTAACAATTTTGAAATTCATTTGGTTTAATTGGGAGGATGTTAATCAAGAGTGGCAAGCAATTCCTATTATTCTGAACCTAACTGCCTAAAAGTAAAGATGTATAGGTCATGTGTAGATCAAGTATTTGGTGGGTAGGGATCTTTTTGAAAATGGCGATGTATTTAAAGCATCGAGTTACACATTGTAGTTTAAGCTTGGCATCCGTTCGCCCAAAATTTTTGAAATTATTACTAAGAATTTTAAATTTAGTCTACATTTTGACATACCTGCCACATGGTGTGGCAGCTAAATGAAAACTAATGTTATACGATTACAATGTAACGACAACGAATTTGGTTCTGAATTTGTGTGAATCAGAAGAATTTAAAACTTTAATTAGCAACACCGCACCGTTGGCGTGAGCTTAGATAAATAAATACCTCCAAAATCAGATTTCGAGAAAAACATAGTTTTCTATTGAATTTTGATCCTCTGATTTATAAAGGTTATTAAACAAAAAGTAATGACATAGACAGTTATTTGCAAAGAGGTCACGAGATATCAATGCCAAAATTTATAAATAAATAAATATGATATAAATATTGCGATACATGTAATAATTTGTGCGATACATTTGATAATTTTTAGAAAATGTTAAAATGAGAGTGAGGTGCCAGATATAGTCGAACAAAATATTCCATTTTCAAACTTCTTCTGATTCAGATAAAAATATTGGATGGGCAAAATGACAAAAAAATCGATCCAATTTTGCGGGAAATCATAAATTCCATATTCATCTCAGGTTTCTGGTTGAGAGAAAGATATGCGTTTTATGAGCTTCATAGATATTCAAAATGTTAACCTGTTGTGGGGGAGGTATCCCATCTTCACACCAGACCTTGGGTTAATAAAAATATTGTGATGGGTGTAATTTGAAGACAATCGAGATCGAAGAGATCGTTTTGGTTATTCAAATTTGGAACTTTTTTTTGGGGAGGTACCAGAGGGAATGGTCCGATCTCTACCATGTTTATGAGAGATCTTGTGTTGATGGAAATATTGAGATGTGCCAAGTCTGAATGGAATCGAAAGTGAATTTCGCGTTTTATGAGCTTCATGAATATTCAAAGTTTTGACCCTTTGTGGGAGAGGTACCAGAAGGAGTGGTCCGATCTCTACCATCTTCAAGGTTAAATGGAATCGGATGAGCTGCTTGGAAATTGAAAAATTTGACACTTTGTGGGGAAAGTACCAGAAGGAGTGGATCGATACATTCCAACTTCACAGCAGAAGAAATAGTGGAATGTATGAAATATGAAGAGAATCGGATACTTATTTCGAATTTTATCATCGTTTTGTTTATTTAAAATCTGGGACTTTTTTTAGGGTGGTACCAGAGGGAATGTTCCGATATATTTCATCTTCAAGGCAGATCTTTTGATAATAGAAATAATGGGATGTGTGAAATATGGAGAGAACCGGATGCTTATTTTAGATTTTATGATATTTTTTGTTTTTCAAAATTTTGACCCTTTTTGGGAAAGGTACCAGAAGGAGTGGGCCGATACATTCCATCTTCACAGCATATCTTGTGCTAGTAGAAATACTGGAATGTATGAAGAGAATCGGAGACTTATTTCGAATTTTATGATCGTTTTGTTTATTTAAAATTTGGAACATTGTTTTTGGGAGGTACCAGAAGGAATGGTCCGATCTCTACCATGTTCATAAGAGATCTTGTGTTGATGGAAATATTGAGATACTTGGCACATCTAATTGCATCGGATGTCAATTTCATGTTTAATAAGCTTCGCGAATATTCAAAATTTTGACCCTTTGTGGGGGACGTAACAGAAGGAGTGGACCGATATATTCCATCTTCACAGCAGATCTTGTATTAATAGAAATATTGTCATGTGTGTTATTTTATAACAATTGTAGTTGTTTAGTGTTGTGGACCGATATTGTCGATTTTCCCACCTGACCTAGCAGAGACGCAAATATAAGGATTTACAAAGTTGAAGCAAAATCCGATAGTCCTTTCTCTTTAGTTTCTTTGAAAATATTGACATTTTGTGGGGGAGGTACCAGAAGGAGTGGACCGATATTGCCCATCTCCTAACTCAATCTTAGTTTGACAATAATATTACAATGTACCAAGTTTGGGTCAAATCGAATGCTCCCCTAAGGGCCTTCTAGGGACAGAATACCTCCTAAGGTACTTTTCCTCCTCGTAGAGGTCTCCTATGGACGAAATACCTCCAAAGGGTCGTCTATGGACATAAGGTCTCCGAAGGCTCTTCTATGGACCTATGAAAACCTCAAGATCTTCTAGAGGTCTTCTAGGGACAAATAATTTGTAAAGGTCTGATGTAGAAAGAAGACCTCCTAAGGGTCTTCTTAGAATAGAAAAAGTCTTAGGTATTTATACCCTACATCACAAGGTGGTCAGGGTATTATGTCTTTGTACATTTGTTTGTAACAGGCAAAAGGCAACGAGATAGACCCATAGTTCCTTTTGATGATCTGCATAGAATCACTTTCTGAGTTGATTTATGAATGTCAGCCCGTCTGTCAATGTATTCTTGTGAACAAAATGCAGGTCGCATTTATTATCCGATTGAGATGAAATTTTCCAAACAACATTTGTTTGGCCCTAGGACGAACCCTATTGAAATTGGAGATAATCGGTAAACATTTAAATGTAGCTCCCATATATATCTTCGTCCGATTTGCCTTTTATTGTGCACCAGACGTGTAATACCAGCCCGAATAGTATGGAATTTTGCACATACAACCAAATTAGGTCTGAAAATAAGTATGCCAAATTTGATCAAAATCGGTACAGATATAGCTATAGCTCCCATATATATTGTTCATCCGATTTGTTATTTTTGTCCTCCGCATATATTGGGGAAATATATCAAATGCAGCTCAAAAATACCTTTGCTAAATTTTATCGAGATCGGTTCAGATTCTCCTATATATAACTTCGTCCGATTTACCTTTTATTGTACACCAGATGTCTAATATTTGCCCAAATGAGATGGAATTTGGCACATATGACCGAATTGAGTCTAGATGGTAGTATGCCAAATTTAGTGAAGATCGGTTCAGATATAGCTATAGCTCCCATATATATTGTTCATCCGATTTGTTATTTTTGTCCTCCGCATATATTGGGGAAATATATCAAATACAGCTCAGAAATATCTTTGCCAAATTTTATCGAGATCGGTTCAGATTTGGATATAGCTCCCATATATATCTCTATCTGATTTCAAAGTAATTTTGCACCAAATGGGCAATACAAGTCCGAATTTACAAGATATAAATGCTTCGGCATATTTAATCCTTTGAATTTTAAATTATAAATATAATTATAATTAAAATAATAATAATTATAATTATAGCGTGTATGATTGAATTCTCCCATAAAAACTTTTAATTGTTATGTGGAGCTCTACTAAATTAGCAAAGTGGTGTAGGGTATCATAAAATCGGCCCCGCCCGACTTTAGGACTTTCTTTACTGTTTTTTTTTTTTGTAGATTTTGACGTTTAATCAACGAATAGTTTAGTTGTTAATCTCAAGCAATTTGAACTTTATTTTCCTTTTACCTGACAAAAAAAATATAATATTTTTCGAACTCAGAGTATCTTCTTTTTGCAGCAAACACCAGTCCGCCAAACAATAAATAACAATACAATGAACCTCTCTGAACTAAATTCAGTTGGTGTGTTTGAATATTCTAAGGGTTTTTTGTTTGTTTTGAAAACGTATTCTGGTAGCATCGGTAATTTGAAATGGAAATTTATGCAGTAGCGGAAAACGTGAGTCGTGAAAAAAACGTGAACGACTTTCAAACAAAACAGAAACTGAAAACCAACAAAAAAAATATATGATTGCACAAAACTATTTAACAACACTGATGGAATGATGACAGCAACGATGGATCCCTTTAATTAAAACAAAAAAACAATTCTGTTCTCTTAATTAGGATAATTAAGGCGAAGGTGGCCAACGATCTTTATGAGTTACATGGACGACATAGAATTTTGTTCACAATTCTTCTTCTCCACAAAACAGAGGATTTCAGTTTCATAATTTTCACAAGTCAATTTATTTCGTTTTGTAGTTTTTTCTCTTAGTTTTTTTCTTTGTTTTTGTAATTTTCATTTCATTATTTTAACACTTACACTATTCAAAATTTATTTTTTTCGCAACACTTAAAAACAATACGTTTTGGCGACTTGAGATTAATGCTTCTCGATTGCACTGGGTGGCAGCTGAATCCAATGCTGGCTGAATGCACAAAATTCAAAACGGCTCAAAATTCCAAAATTTGTCCGTACGCAACGATATACTTTAACCAACTGATCGTGGAGACGATCTTACCACGGCTTATAATAGCTTGTCCCCAAAAAAAAGCAGAAACACACAGCGCCAAGCATAGAAACACAGAAACTGTGAAAAATGCGCTAAACTCGACGACATAGACAGGCAGCCACACAGTGCGACACACAGTCACAGCCGTACATCAGGTAAGTACAGCAACAAAAAGCCCCATCAGTAACAGCAACAACAACAACAAGTACTACACAGAAATAAATGACTGAAAATTGTAATCACTATTTTTGCCAGTATGTACAGCAACAGCAACAAAACCAACAAGAAGCAGAAGCATTAAAATAACAACAACAACAACAATACACACATACATATGCATACATGCGCAATTGGTGGTATAGCTGGTACTCAGTCAATGGATGGATCTTCAGTCACAGCCATGCCCCCATACTCCAACCACCAACCAACCAACCAGCCATCCATCTGTCCACCCGACCACCAAGCCATGGCTTAGAGCAAATATTGCTTTATTGCCAGGCCAAATGTAAGTAACTTGGTTAGTTGGGTGATTGTCTCCGGCCCGTTTTGTCAGTTTGGAGTTTTGTCGTATTGGTCTTCCAGTTCCCAAAACAGAAAGAAGACAAGAATTGCCAAAGGGGAACAGGGTCAGATGGGCAAAGGCCAAAGGTATGGTTGGCAAGATTTTCTATGGACGAAAGTCTTCCTTAAAGTCTTCTATGGACAAACGCCCCGCAAGGGGCTTTCATGAATAGAAGACCTCCTAAAGGTCTTCTAATGACAGATAAAGTTTTAGTGTACCTCCAGGGAAAAAGGGGACTCCCTATGGACTGACGATGTTATAAAGTTCTTCTTCATTGGTTTCTATGGATCTTTCCTAGGGGGTTATTTAGGCAGAACACCCCTAGGGGCAGATTACCTCCTAGAAGTCTTCTAGGAACAAAAGATACCCGGATGGTCTTCTGTGGACAGAATACATCCGAAGCTTCTTCCAAGAACAGAGAAAGTCTTAAAGGTCTACTATGGACTGAAGGACTTCTAGAGGTATTCTAGGGATAGAGGAGTTCTATGGACCCTTCTAAGGGTTTTCTATGAAGAGATGACCCCAAGGATCTTCTATAGAAAGCATACCGCCAATAGATTTTCTTGGTACAGAAGACCTCCAAGAGGTCCTCTATGGTCTGAAGATCTATTAGTGGTCTTCTAAAGATATAAGGATTCCCGAGGGTCTTTTACCCACAGAAGCCCTCAGGAGAGAAGAAGAGGAGTCTTCTAGGTACAGAAGATCTCCTAGAGGTCTTCCATGGACAGAAGACCTCCTTAGAGTCCTCTATGCACAGATGACATCCCAAGGGTCTTCTATGACAGAAGATTTCTTCAGGGTCTTCTGTGGACAATAGTCCTTCTAAAGATTTTCTATGGAGAGACGATCTCTTAGGGGTCTTCAATGGAAAGAAGACCTCGGAATGATCTTCTCTGTACAGAAAACTTTCTAGGGGTCTCCTACAGACAACTTATCCCAAAGGTCTTCTATGTACGGAAGACTTCCTAGAAGTAATTTACAAACAGAAGGCCTCCTACGGGTCTTTGATGGACAAAATATCTCCTAAAGGTCTTTTGTGAACCTCTCTCCATGTGGCTTCCTCTGGGCAGAAGGCTTCATAGGGGGCTTTTTGGGACCTGAGACTTTTTAAAGTCTATGTACGAGACTTGGCAGACTTCTGCGCAAAGGGGAGCCTGAGGAGGTCTTCTGTCGCCTTAGGAAGTCTTATATTCATAGAAGGTCTTTAGGAGACCTCAGGGACGTCTTCTGCCCATAGAATACCCTTAGGAGGCCTTTTCCAGAGGAGTCCTCTCGGAGGTCTTCTGATCCCATACAAGATGCTGGAGGTCTGAAGATTTTCCAGGAGTCTGAAAATCTTCCAGGGTCTGACGATCTTTCAGGAGTCTTCTATGAACAGATGACTTTCTATAGGTCTTTAACGAACAGAAACCCTCCTATGGATATTCTATGAACAGAAGACCTCTTAAGGTCAGAAGAGCCCTTAAAAGTCTTCTATGGGACTAGTAGACCTCCCAGAGGACTCCTATAGAAAGAAGACCTCCTAAGGGTCTTATATGGATAGAAGACATCCTAAGGGTGTTCTATGTACAGAAGATCCCTTGAGGGTTTTCTAAGGACAAGAAGAACTCCTTAGGGTCTTTTTTTGACTGGAGACTCTTGTAGAGTCTTCTATGGATAGAAAACCTTCTAAAGGTCTGGACGAAAAATCTCTAATTTGTCTTCTATGGACAGAAGAACCTTTATAGTTCTTCTATGAGCCTAGAAGACCTCCTAATGGTGTATATGGACAAAAGACCTTGTAAAGGTCTGCTATTGATAGAAGACCTTCTTAAAGGTCTTCAATGGACAGATGACCTTCTAAAGATCTTTTATCCTCCTCCGAATCTTCTATGGGTAGAAGGCCACATAGAGGTCTTTTGTGGATAAAAGACCTTCTAGGAGTTTCCATGAACTGAAGACCCCCTCAAGGGATCTTCTATGGCAAAGACATCTTCTGCTCTTCTATGAGCAAAAGACCTCCTAGAGGTCCTTTATGGAAAAAATACCTCCTAGGGGGTCTTCTATGGATAGATGATCTCTTAAGGGTCTTCTTTGAGGATAGAAAATATCTTGGACGACTTCGACAACTAGAACTCATTTTATCGACCTGTCTAATTGTAGACTTTTCATCGTCCATTATTTTTCTGCAGTCTTTCGGACCTTGAAGACCTTCTCGGAGATTTCTGAGGATCTTTTCGCCTCTTATGAGGCCCCATAACTACCAGCTGCCTTCATAAATCCTCTCCTGCTTCCAGAAGCAACAGTATTCTAACAAACGATAATGCAAGTGATTCGTTTCAACTTGGCTTACATATTTCTATGTGGCTGGATTTCTTAGCCGCTGATGAAGATTTGCGGGTAAATAACAAATTGAGCCGACGACAAAACGTCAGACAGACGGACAACTTGAGTGTCATACCAAATGACACAAAAACAGACGGCACATATGATTCACTTCTGTGTGACAGAGAGAGAGAGAGAGAGAGAGAGAGAGAGAGAGAGAGAGACAAATGAAACGGAGTTCAAAAACAAAACAATTCGGTTGCCATATTAGACCGGAGTTAGATAGACATACAAGATATCTATTTAAATGAGAAAATTCGCAGATTCATACAGACACACACAAACACATACATATGTATTTTTGTGGTTGTGAATTCGACATACATCTGTAACTGGGCCCCCATATAACCACATCAAGCAGATATTAGCAAAAGAAAGAAACACTTGTTACAGCGAACATTGTTTGCAAAAAAGCAACGACAACCACAACGAAAGCAAAAACAATATCCAACCAAAAATTACTTTAGATTCTCGTCATACATCATTACCATCATTATTTTTGTTTTCTGTTTTTAAATTAAATTTGTTGTTGTAGTTTTTGTGGGTTTTGTTTGTTTTTATTTATTAGTTGTAATAGTTTTTTTTTGACGAAAAATTCTAGAATTTTCATGTTTTTTAAACAAATGTTTAACAATGTTTATAAACATGTTGCGTATTGGTCTGGCAACAAATCTGCTATGTTTACTGTTAATAGATATGGTTGACACTTTAAACATTAATCTGCATGCAATTTAAAGATTGAATCTGAGGCTATATCTAGTCTTTGAATTTGAAATTGAGATGAAAAAACTACAACCAACTTCTGACTGCTGTCATTTCTAAGCCACTCGTCCGACAGCTGTTAAAATTATTCCAGTAACAGCTCATTCTATTGTTTTCAAGCGTACAAAAGCGTTTTGTTGAGAATTTTCCAGAAAAAAGTTATTTGTGATGGAATTCAAGCGTGATAGTTTGATTTCTTTATATTTGGCTGGATAACCACAAGTGGCTATCGTTAGAGCCCTCCAGCATTTAAATATGAATAAATCTTTTGTGTCTCGTACCATCGCTCGTTACCGTGATACAGGTAGCGTTGCCTGACGTCAAGGTAATTGACGGAGGAACACAGCAACAACAGCAGAAATGGTTTGAAAAGTAAAGAAGCGACTTGATCGAAAACCGCGTCGCAGTGGCCGAAAAATGGCCCGCGAGCTGAACATATCGCAATATTCCATTCGGAAAATATTGAAAAATGAGCTCGGGGTAAAGCCATTGAAATTCCAAAAATGCAAGAACTTACATCGCATCAGAAAGAAAATAGACTCAAAAGAGCTAAAGGGTTGCTTTGCTTGGCCGAAAGTGGTGAACTGCCGAATTTGGTTTTTTCCGATGAGAACACATTCGTTGTCCAGCAGTTTGTGAACAAACAAAATGGTCGTGTTTACTTGCCAAAGAGGTCAGCTGAAAATGTGCACTTTCGGTTGGCCACCAGAACTCAAGCGCCGGCCATGGTGATGGTGTGGGCCGCCATAACAGCCGATGGTCGCTCTCTGCTCGTATTAATCAATTGTGGCATCAGATAAATGCCGAATATTATTGCGAAGACATTTTGGCCGCAGACCTTGGACATTCCAACAGGATTCAGCGCCATCGCTCAGCACGCGCCACCCAAAAATGGTTACAAAATGAGTTTCCCCACTTCATTTCCAGCGCACAATGGTCACCAAAATCTCCGGATAGCAATCCGTTGGACTATTATGTCTGGAGTATTTTGGAAAGCAAGGTTGGCACTAAAAAATACCAAAGTGTCGATCACCTCAAGCAAGCGCTTCGCCGGAAATGGGCCAAAATACCGCAGAGCAACATTCAGGCAGCGTGTGACGGTTTCATTGACCGTTTGAAGGACATAATTCGTGCCAAAGGCGACCAATTCGAACAAATCTAAATATATTCTAAAATTGGTGCTGTTTCCGACATTTTTATACCCTCCACCATACTATGGAGGGTATATTAACTTTGTCATTCCGTTTTTAACACCTCGAAATACTCATGTCAGACCCAACAAAGTATATATATTCTTGATCAGAGTAAAATTCTAA